GGGTTTCTGGGGATAATTCGGGAGGCACAGAGAAATTTATCCCAAGGAAGAAGAAACATACTTAAGGGAGGACAAGACAACCACGGCTGACAAGGGAAGTCAGGGGCAGCATAAAAGCAAAAGAAAAAGCATACAATGTGGTGATGATTAGTGGAAAGCCAGAGGATTAAGAAGCCTTTATAAATCAGCAGAGGACAATTAAAAAGGCAATAAGAGGGGAAAGTGAAATATGAAAGTAAGTTAGCTGGTAGCATAAAAGACAATTGCAAGAGATATTTTTTAGATTTATAAAAGGGTAAAAGAGAGGCAAGAGCAGGGGTGGGAATCTTGACATCACTGCCTGTAAGGGTAGGAGAGTAGAAACGCTCATAGGAGTTTAAAAGTATTTCGATGTGCACTTGTAACGGCAAGACATTCAAGGCTATGTACCAAGTGCTGGAAAATGGGATGAGAATAGATGGTTGTTTTTGACCAGTGCAGACTTGATGGGCTGAAGGGCCGTTTTCTAATGTAGACCTCTACAACTCTGACTCTATAAGACTTTCCTTTGTTGCAGGTCCCTATTGCTTGGGGAGCGGAGGAGGTTATGGTGGGATTAGATTCAGATTAGACTGTGGTCCTATCACTTTGGGCAAAATTTGATGCCCAGGTTTGGAATGAGCTCACTTGTGGAAACCTGTTGGTCCACGTATCAAGGTGACATGACAAGAAACAGTGGATGTAATCGAGAGAAAAATAATTACAGCTGTCAGTTGCTAAAGACAGATCATGCATTATCATGGATCAGTTTAATTGTTCCTTGAGTGAGTGAAGGTGATGTCACTGTTTTTGCAAGTCACTTTATAAAGTTAAAAAAAAACACATATTTAAGTAGTTTTCATAATCACAAGATGTCTCAAAGTGGACTGCAGTGGTTCAAGAAGGCAGCTCACCACCACCTTCTCAAGGGCAACTAGGGATGAGTAATAAATGCTGAACCAGCCAACAATACCCACATCCCACAAATGAATAGATGAAACAAAGTGCTTCACAGCCAGTGAAATGTCGCCACTGTGCAATGTCAGAAACACAGTGACCAATTGCATAGCAAACTTCCTCAAACAGCAACGGAATACTGACCAAATGCGTTAAAATCCAAAAGAACTGCAGATGCTGTAAATCAGAAGCAAAAACAGAAATTGCTGGAAAAGCTCAGCAGCGTCTGTGGAGAGAAATCAGAGCTAATGAAGTGTCACGCAACACGAAATGTTAACTCTGATTTCTCTCCGCAGATGCTGCTGAGCTTTTCCAGCAATTTCTGTTTTTCTTAAATAATGTGTTTACTGATTTTGAATGAGGGACAAATATTGATCCCAGAACACTGGGGAGAATTCATAGAAACAAAGAAACGTAGAGAATAGGAGCAGGAGTAGGCCACTTGGCCTTTTGTGCCTGTTTCACCATTCGATATGATCATGGTTTATCATCCAACTCAGTCCCCTGTCCCCATTTTCTCCCCATTCCTTTTGATCCCTTTAGCCCTAAGATTTATATCTAATTTCTTCTTGAAAACACTCAATGTGTTGGCCTTGACCACTTTCTGTGGCAGAAGATTCCACAGGCTCACCACTCTCTTGGGTGAAGACATTTCTCCTGATCTCAGTCCTAAATGGCCATCCCCATTTTCTTAGACTGTGACCCCTGGTTCTAGACTCCCCGGTCATCAGGAACATCCTTCCTGCTTTGACCCTGTCTAGTCCTGTTTTTATAGGTTTCTATGCGATTACCAGACCCCCTCTCATTCCCCTGTTTTCAAAATAGCACCAGGGGATATTCTATATTCACCAAAGCAGGGGGCAGTGCCTTGTTTTAATGTCTCATCTGAAAGGTAGCACTTCCAACAGCGCAGCACCCCCTTGGTGGTGGAGTGTCAGTTTTGATTTTTCTGCCGAAGGCCCTGAATTAGGACTTGAATTCTGACCCTTGTGGCTCAGAGATGGGGGCCAGTTAGCTGGATAGCTGGTTTGGAATCCAGAGCGATGTTGAGTAAGGTGGGTTCAATTCTTGTACCAGCTAGGGTTACCGTGAGGGTTCTGCCTTCTCAGCCCAGCCCTTTGCTTGAGGTGTGGTGACCCTCAGGTTAAACTCACCACCAGTCTTCTCTCTCTGTCTGATGAGAGAGTAGTCCTCTGGGACTTCGGTGACTTTATCCTTACAGAGCCAGAAGAGGAATCAAGATACACTGCTCAGAATAGAGACGCATTTGAGCGGTGTAAATTAGAAAACAATAGTTGACTTTTAAGGTAAAAACAACAACGTTGCTGTTCCAAAGCCACCATCCCTAAAAGATTTTGATGCCAACTTCAATGACAGGAGTGATCTTGCATTCTGTTTTATTTAATAATATAGATCTGAACTCTGTGTCAAGCCAAGACTCCCTACTCGGTATCTTCACTCTCTGATGGATTCAGGGAAGATTCACTAGGTTCTTTCCTGGGATGAATCATGCAGAATTATGACTGTGGATAAAGTGGCCATTCAGCCTGACTCACCTAGTGCCATTGTCTGAAATTCTCCCCGTTACCCTAAATATATTTCCATTACAGTCTAATTCACCTTGGAATGTTTCAATGTAACCAGCCTTGAACTCACTTCAGGGTTTGTATTCCAGCTCTCAACTGTACCGAAGGGTTACATGTCATTCAGTCGGCTACATAACTGATGATGACAATAAGGAAAAGTCAAGATGGATATAGTAAGAGGAACAAAAACAGATGGTGCTGGAAAAGCTCAGCAGGTCTGGCAGCATCTGCGAAGAAAAAATCAGAGTTAACGTTTCAGGTCCAGTGACCCTTCCTCAGAATGGTGAGAGGAGCAACTCTCCAGAATGTATTAGTGTATATCATCATGCACAGAAAATGTTGGAATTACTTTACAATGCCTACATCCAGATTGTTCGCAGATTAGAGCCGACAGGGATCACCAATTAAATCAGCATTGAGGAGACTTGGCTAAAGCAAACCAACATCAGATTGAACATGGTCCAGATACTCCTTCCCTGGTCACCTGAATCCCAAACCATTAACCCGCTCACTGTGAAAAAAAACGTCTTTTTTCTTAAAACCACTTTTTGTTCCTTTTGCTATTGTACTTACATTACATCTGTGCCAGACTGTTCAGGAGAGATGTTAGGAAGCATTTCTAGACACAAAAGGATGGGAGAGGTTTGGAACTCTCTTCCACAAGCAGTAGTGGATGCTGGATCAGTTCACTTTAAATCTGCGATAGCTATATTTTTGTAAAGCAAAGATATTAAGGGATAGGGGACCCTCTGGGGGTTCAAGCTATGGCTGCCTTTTCAAGGGATCTGGGGAATATTCTTCCTTACAAGCCTGCTCAGGCTTCCTCCTTTATGTCCTTTCCCAATCAATCTCTGCCCTGAATTGGAAAATAACATCAACTTTGCTTCTACATTCCAGCCTTTCCTCACTCTCCCGTGGTCCGTTTCTGACCCTTCCCTTCCCTCATTCAACTGTTGCAGATAGAGTGTAATCACTGGGGCAAGCTGGTGCGCATGTTGAGTGAGATGTTGGCAGAAGTCAGTGCCTTCAGGCTCTGAAAGGCAGCAGAACAACTGGACCAACCACATCTCTCTCCAGGCTGAAATCCAACTGCCTCTTAGTGTAAAATTCCACCACATCCAGCCATCTTCAGCGATCTGCTCAGTTATCAGGGCCATCGCTGAGTAGTCTGACTCAGTTATCATCATTCACGTGGACTTTTTTCATTTATTCTTTTCAGAGCAAGGCTAAGGTTTATTGAACATCGCTAATTGTCCTTGAACTCAGTGGTTCACCCGACCATCCCAGAGGGTGGCACGGTGGCTCAGTGGTTAGCACTGCTGCCTCACAGTGCCAGGGACCCGGGTTCGATTCCACCCTCGGGCAACTGTCTGTGTGGAGTTTGCACGTTCGCCCCGTGTCTGCGTGGGTTCCCTCCGGGTGCTCCAACTTCCTCCCACAGTCCAAAGATGTGCAGGTTAGGTGGATAGGCCATGCTAAACTGTCCATAGTGTGCAGGAATGTGCAGGCTGGGTGGGTTAGCCATGGGCAATGCCAAGTTACAGGGATAGGGTAGGGGGTTGGGTCTGGGTGGGATGCTCTCCAGAGAGTTGGTGAGGACGTGATGGGCCAAACAGCCTGCCTCTACATTGTAGGGATTCTGTGATTCAACTACATTGCAGTGGGTCTGGAGTCACACATTGCCCAGGCTGGGTAAGGTCAGAAGACTTCCTTCCTTAAAGGGCATTAGTGAAGCAGATGATAGTTTTACGATCACTATTACAGAGACAAATTCATAAGTGAATTGAAATGAAGTTCATGTAAATTGAACCAGTGTCCACAAAATGTTATCCTGAGCCTCTGGGTTATGATACCAATGAGACAGTCAGCACACCACAGACTCCCCACTGCAGCAACAAGTCCTGGATCTGAGTCCTATTAGTCTGAAAGCATTAACTTGGTTTCTCTCCACAGATGCTGCTGGATTTTTCCAGCACCTGCAATATTTAGCTTTTTTGTGAGAGCCAAGTTAAGGGAGATGGAACTTTCTAAGCGGTTCCCCTCCTGTTTAGCTCAGTGACACTCGGTGGAGGGGCTTGCCTGTTCTGAGGACCCGAAACGTTAACTCTGACTTTTTTTTCTTCACAGATGCTGCCCGACCTGCTGAGCTTTTCCAGCAACTTCTGTTTTTGTTCGCACTGTAGGCTCTGTTCTTTCCTTCCCAGTCACTGCGACAGTCCTCATGCAGAAATGAAGACCATTGCTTATGTTCAAACAGCTGCTAAAACGCTGACCCTGGACTTGAGCAAAATAGAAAACAGCAAACGATGCAACATCTTGATCAAAGCTTTGTCTGCTCAGCAGGATTCACCACTCCAAACATGCAAAATGGCAGGGGAAGAAAATTAACATGTCTTTAAGAGTCTTGCAGTGTTGACAACGCATTACGTGACTACTCACCAAATCTTTGCAAGAAATTGGCAAGAAGGAATTATTTTCTTCATCACCATGACAGTACACTGGCAACATCATTCCATTACTGGCAGGACCACGCAACGTAGCGCTTCGGAGCTATCGATCGGCTGAAATGCAGTGAAGGGGAAATTAGTTTTTCCATTGAGAAAAACATTCTCCCTAAGGCATCAGTAAGATTCAGATCCAAACTAAGACCATTAACCTCAACTTTCTATTTACACAGGAATTTGAATCACATTATATTTTCTGCTCCCCATGCACCATAGCCTCCCCAGCCAGCCCAAATCTCACTCTGCAGTCTGGTCTAAAGCTGTTGGAAATCCCTGGACGACTCTAAACAGTCTGTGTCAGTAGGCTATTGCACACAGGATCAGCTCATTTTCCTGGAATTGGGCCACAAGTGACTAGATTTATTCAATTCACAATTCGTCAGGGTGGGATTTGAACTCATTACCTCTCGGCCAACTCGAAGGCTGTATAACCCATTATACTCTCGGGGTTTGTTGACATGATACAGTTTGATGCAGGAATGTCGGGGGAAGCACTGGAATGTCAAGAATTACTTCTGCCACAAAGAAAGCTCATTCAGGACACAGCAGTCATAGTCACTGAGTCATACAGCATGGAAACAGACCCTTCGGTCCAACTCGTCCACGCCAACCAGATATCCTAAATTAATCTCGCCCCATTTGCCAACATTTGGCCCATATCCCTCTAAACCCTTTCTATTTATATACCCCTACAGATGCCTCTTAAATGTTGTAATTGTACCGGCCTCCTCCACTTCCTCCAGCAGCTCATTCCACACACACACCACGCTCTGCGTGAAAACGTTGGCCCTTAGGTGCCTTTTAAATCATTACCCTCTCACCTTCAACCTATGCCCTCTAGTTTTGGACTCCCCTACCCTGGAGAAAAGACCTAGGCAATACATCCTATCAATGCCCCTCATGATTTTATAAACCTCTGTAAGGTCACCCCTAAGACTCCAGGGAAAATAGCCTCAGCCTATTCTGCCTCTCGCTATAGCTCAAACCTTCCAACCCTGGCAACATCCTTGTAAGTATTTTCTGAATCCTTTCAGGTTTCACTTGATCAGTGCTCCTCTAACCAAGGTCCCCTCTCATTTCTGTTTGCTTGGCTGGCTTGTACTACATGGTCTCTTTGAGGACCACAGGAGTCCAACATGAGGCCATGAATCTTACTTAGAGGGAGTGTTGCTTGTGCATGGCATGTTGGCTCCCTGCACTGCAATTATTTTTCCGCTCATGCATCTTGGAAAGAATACATACTCTCTGTATCCAGCATCTTCCACCAGCGGTACACTGTGGCAGTGATAAATGTCCTATAGGCTGCAGTTCATCAAGTTTACATCCACATTCTGCCTCCTGTGTAATATCCATCATCGACATGGACAGAAACGGAAATATTATCAAACATCGTTGCTTTATCAGGTGATAGGTTTGTAAAGGGTTAATGTTGGAGATTGCATTAGGCTCCACCCAATCTGTTGATGCCAGGCAGTCTTGGGTGGGAGAATCAAGGAATCTAGTTCTCGATCCTGATACATCTCTGGCTCCTGTTCGTCTTAAAGATTATGCCAAACTAGTCAATGTTACTGGTACCAGGCACCATCACACAAAACACTGTATGTTCGTGTAGGGCAAGTGCCCCTTCTCAATAATTGTCATGATGCGCTTGGGCAGGACAAACAAGGCGAGGGAATACATTATGAACTGTAGAGCTCTGGGAAGCACTGAGAATGAGAGGGACCCTAGTGTACATGCTTACTGGTCCTTTAAGGAGGTGGGAGAGGTAGATAAAGTGGTTCAGAAGGCATATGGAATACTTGCCTTTGTTAGCCATGGCGTAGAGTTTAAGAGCAGGGAAGTTATGCTGCAACTGTATAAAACGCTGGTTAGAGTACTGTTTGCAGTCCTGGAATCCACATTACAGGAGGGATGCGATTGCACTGGAGAGGAGGTTTATCAGAATGTTGACTGGGCTGGAGAGTTTCAGTTATGAGGTGAGATCGGACAGACTGGGGTTGTTTTCCTTAGAGCAGAGGAGATGGAGGGGGGATATGACTGAGATGACTAAAATAACAAGGTGCATAGAGAGGAAGAAACATTCTCCCTTGATGGAGGGATCAATGGCCAGGGGGCATAGATTTGAGGTAAAGGGGCTGAATGGCCTCTTTCTGTGATCTACACAACACCATTGTGGAAGTCCATTAACTTGAAGGGGCCAACACAGGGATGGGCATTAAACGTGGTGGTGTTCCTATGCATTTGTTACCCTTGTCGTGCATTTGGAAGGATCCATCAGAGGAGCCTTGCTGCAATCAAACAGCTGGAAACGGTAGCATAGTAGTAATACGACTGGACTAGTAATCCAGAGGCCAAGACCAATATTCTGATGGCAGTTCAAGTCCCAACAGGGAAGCTGCTGGTATGTAATTTCGATTTATAAATCTGGAATTTAAGGAAACTAGTCTCAGTCAATGGCAGCTATCATCAATGACAGCTACCCATCTGTTTTCCTAATGACTTTCAAAGAAAAAAATCTGCCATCCTTACCTGGTCGGGCCCTACATTTGACTATGCAAACCACACAATGCAAGGGGCATTAGGGATAGGCAGCAAGTGCCCAAAGCACTCACATGATCCCGGTCCAGAATGAAATAGACCTGGGGTAGGTAATGAACCTGATGGGGCTAAAATACTTTAGAAATTGAAGAGTTTGTGATTGCCAGTTGTGATTTTGCCTTCCATGGTGTAAGTCTCTGAATTAGTAGGTAGTACAGGGCTAGAAGATTGTTAAAAAGGCAGACATTGTTGACGTTGGAGTGCAAGGCAATAAAATTCAGCAACAAACTTTGATAAGATGGCTCTTTTTTTCAGCAAAATCTCTGAAAATAAGACAGGTGTCCCCAAAGACTGAACCAGTTGAACAATAAAATGCTGTCATTGTCAATTCTGTCACTCTTTTTGACTGACAGAAAGAAAGACAGATTCCCTTGTCCACCTTCTGCTGGGACCATTCCTCCTGGGACACCCTGGTCCACTCTTCCTTCACTCCCAACAACACACCCCCACCCATCCCCTCCCACTCCCATCCCCCACAGCCCCACGGTACCTTTCCCTGTATCTGGCGAAGGTGTAACACCTGCCCATTTACCTCCTCCCTCCTCTGTATCCAAGGGCCCACACATACCTTCCAGGTGAATCAGCACTTTACCTGCACTTCCCACAATCTGCACTCACACCTCACAATGTGGTGTCCTCTACACTGGGGAAATGAAGCATAGTCTGGGTGACCGCTTGGCAGAATATCCACATTTGCCTCGCAAAAACTGACCTTCCAGTTGCCTGCCACTTTAACACACCACCCTGTTCCCTGGCCAACATCTCTGTCTCTGGCTTGCTGCAGTGTTCCAACGAGGCTCAGCACAAGCTGGAAGAACAACTCCTCATTTTCCACTTGGGGACCCTGCAGCCCTCCAGACTCAATATTGAGTTCAATAGTTTTAGGGCCTGAACTCTTCGATGTCCCAGCCCCCTACCCTACACACCAGGCCTTATTATCACATAGTCTGCTATTACACACAACCGACTGCTAGTCACTACGGTCTCCATTAACAGCTATTGACTGTCCGAGCCAGATGGTTATCCACTTCTTTGTCTGTTCAACTGCTCTTCTCTCTCTTTGGGCTCTGTCCCACCTATCGTTTACTCCTTATCTCCTCCCCCCACTCTATCTTCTGCATATAAACTGACATTTTCCTAGTTTCCATCAATTCTGAGGGAGGATCACCAGACCCAACACGTTAACTCTGATTTCTCTTCACAGATAAAAGAATACGGTGTAATTCTGAAGGGAGTACGGGAACAGAAGGTCCTTGGTGCATTTTGACAGTGAGTGAGTATAGAAACAGCAGGATAGGACAGGTGAATGCGTGGCTGGGAAGTTGGTGCAGGAGAGAGCGCTTTCGATTCTTGGGACACTGGAATCAGCTCTGAGGATGGTAAAGGTCGTACAGTTTGTACCTGAACTGAGGGCGCTGTGTTCCTCACTGTTGCTATTGGCTAGATTTAAACTAACTCTGGTTAAAGGTGTCAGAACTTGTTGAAAGAGCAGTTACTAGAGAACATTGCATAAAAATAATAATAAAAAGGGTTCAGAGTACAACAGCAAAGAAGTTATGTTGAACATGTATAAAATCACTAGTTTGGCTTTATGGGAAGGTGATCACTAGATTATTAATCCAGAGGTCCATCAATATTCTGGGGTCTCAGATTTGAACTCTGCCTTGGTAGAATTATTGAATTCGATAAAAAAAATCAGGAATTAAAAAAGTCTAATGATGACCATGAAACAATTGCCAATTATTGGGGAAAACTTATCTGGTTCACTAATGTTCCTTAGGGAAGGAAATCTGCTGTCCTTTCCTGGTCTGGCCTACCGATGACCCCAGACCTGGAGGAAGTGATGGCCTAGTGATTTTATCGCTGGACTGTTAATCCAGAGACCCAGATAACGTTCTGGGGACCCAAGTTCGAATCCCGCCATGGCAGATGTTGGAATTTGAATTCAATAAAAATATCTGGAATTAAGAATCTAATGATGACCATGAATCAATTGTCAATTGTTGGGGAAAAACCCATCTGGTTCACTAATGCCCATGAGGGAAGGAAACACATGTGGCTCCAGACCCACAACAATGTGGTTGACTCTGAACTGCCCTGTGGGAAATTAGGGATGGGCAATAAATGCTGCCTGGCCTGTGACGTCCTCATCCCGTGAATGAATAAAGAAAAAACTCCCAACTGCCCCCTGAGCAATTAGGGATAGGCAATAAATATTGGTCTGGCCAGCAACGCTCACATTTTGTGATAGAATTTACAAAAAAGTGTGTCGAACTCTAGACAGGAAGGATGTGAAAACATTGGAAAGAGTGCAACAGGAATGGTTCCAAGGATAAGGAATTTTAGATCTGCAGATGGCTGAATTGGAGCTTTCAAAATCATGACAGCTGTGAACAGAATAAATCGGGAGAAAATGGTCCTACTCGAAAATGAGAGGGCACAGATTTAAAAAGTAATTA